ATTAAGCGATCCAAGCAATCCACCGTCACATCATTTTCAAGCAAATCCCCCGACCAAAAAAATGAGCTCCGATGGCAACCAGCACGGGAAAACTACCTACCCCGTATGCCCCTCCCACGAGAGGCAACAGAGCCAACCGGTCTGTCACGCACCAATTTAAACTCAAGTCCAAGATCATCACCTCCACAAGAATCCGAAGAAAATTCAGAATCACATTCAAATTCGGACGAACAGAGCAGCCATCAATATGAGCCCTCGCATCCAACTCAGAATTATCTCCCACATGATATACTAAAGCTTGGGGCTCAATTAATTTCACTGGCACATCGACAAATGAATTAGGAATAACCACCATATCTTCACCAAAATTAACCTCAGCTCCAACAATAGCCACAGAAGACTCCTCACCACCATTAGTTAAAGGATCTAAAACCATAACAGCAGGAGTGGAGACCAAATTAACAGAGGGAATAGTAACTTCCCTTTCCACAACCACCAAAGGAGTCGGGCTCTCACAGAGAACCGACGCTCGGATAGGCGACACAGGTTTACCATCCCCAGAAACCACATCCACATCCAAATCAGTCGAATCAACCACCACATCCGCATAAATACACCCACAATTATTTTTACTCAAATGACTGCTCTCCTTACCAATGCAACAAACAGGAGGCACCAAAGACACAGGTTCCATTTCAGCCACATTAGAAACAACAGGAGCGACAAAGCCTATAAAAACTTGTTGCATATTGCCCAGGTTTTCAGGACCCAACCAAATCTTATCGGGGTATGATTTCGTGATATTAATTTCTACCAGCACTCGAGCCACGGAAGGCCTAGAGCCAACAGAGGTAGCAGTGTCAATCTTCAAAGGTTTACTCAAAATTGAACCCAAACTGTGAAGAATCCGGGGGGGGGAGTAAAGATGAGGACGAAGTTGAGCAAACGAAACCCAAATAGGGATCACTGGCGATTCAACACCCACATCAAAAAGAGGAGACCACTTGGTAAGTTTTATGTAACAATTAAAAACTAGGTATGATCTATGGCAAAAAACCCTACAATAATCAAGGTCATTAGCAAGTTTGATCAAGACATGCGACGGGTCAAGCAGTGTGACCGACACTTATCCAATCAGCTTAAGATTAAAAAAAAATCTCCTAATAGAATCAAGAGAAGAACATTTTGATGGGAAGAAACCAACTAATGAGAACCGGAAAGGAACCGCTAAAGCACAGCAACAGTAAACATACATAATTTGTAGAAATAAATTAATAGATCAAAAGATTTAAATGCTTATTAATTGCTATGTACATAAGTGAATAAATGAATCTTTTTCTACCATCCACATATAAATATATGGATTTATATTATTGTAAAATAGTTTTAACATGCATTAATTTTCCATAGGACGATATATCATCAGGCGTAACTTTTAGAAGACCTTTCTTTGAAGTCACTTATGTGACATATTGTATCATATGCACTCCATAAGATACAGACTCATCAGACTACATGTCTAAGTAGGGGTGTCAATATTCGATGCGGGCAGAAACCTTGACTCGAACCCAATACGAAAATTCCATGTTACGGTCAAACTGTTTGAGAACGGGTCGGGTTCGGGTTCAACAAACTGACCCGTTTCAAAAATTGAGCTGGGTTCGCGTTGACTCGCAAACCCAAAAATGACATGGATTGACCCGCTGCTCGGGCTAACCGCCCCTGCCCGAGCTAAATGCACCTGCCTGCGCTGACCGTGCATGTCCGTGCTGACATGTCTGACCGCATCTAACTGCATCGCATCCTAAGGCGACTCCCGCATCGCGTCGCGCCCCCGCTATCCTTCCGCATCCCGTCGATCTTCCCGCCGAGCTGACCCACCTGCCCGTTATCCGTGAGTCGAGTGACGACGCTGCTGCCAGCCTGCAGATGTCGCGTCGCTTCTACCGACCCGCCGCTGCCAGCGTTGCCATGTTCGCGGGGTCGAGTTAGGTTGACCCAAACCAGAAGCAGGTCGAGTTTGAGTTCAAAAAATTGACCCGTTTGCAAAAAAACGGGTCAGGTTCGGGTTCAACCGAATAGTGCCGAGTCAGTTCCAGATTTGATCTGAACCCAACTGGTTACCTAGAATTGACAACCCTATGTCTAAGTACTAAGTAGATTTTTATTAAAATTGTAAATGTCTTACCTTACAACATACCTCAAAACTCATTCTATGTTGTCTCTCACTTATTTGTTCCTCTTTCCTGATGGATCTATGCAGTCTACAATCAAATACTGCTTATTCTTTATTTATTTTTTGTAATATATTAACTTTACATTATCCTCTAAACACAATGGACAAAGATAAGTGACATCTACCACTTCCTATATATATCTCATCACCTTCAACCTCCAAAGGATTGATAGAATCAGTGGCAAGGACCTCCAATATATCATTTTGCTTAAATCCCAGTATTAGGTCTCGTTTGGGACAACTTTCTTATTGCTTCTTAAAACAACTTTCTAGTATAAAAAAATTAATTTTTGTACTAAAAAGCTGCTTTAAGAAGCAGCAAAAAAGTCATCCCAAATAAAGCCTTAGGCTTCGTTTGGGACGGCTTTCTTTCTGCTTCTTAAAGCAGCTTTTTAGTATCAAAATTAATATTTTTCTACTTGAAAGTTACTTTAAGAAGCAGAGAGAAAACCATCCCAAACAAAACCTTAGTCATTGTGTCAACAATAATGACCTCCAAGATATCATTTTGCTTATTGTCACTCATTTGTGTGGCACAATCCACAACTTTATTCTTCTTATTCTCCTTATGTACAAAACTCTAGGGCAAATTTTTAAAGCATCAAAGATAATAAATTCTTAAATATATTATCTTAATCCTAATTAGTGATTATCGATAAGTCTTGTACTTGAAGAATCATACTTAGGCTTCGTTTGGGTCGACTTTCTTACTACTTCTTGAAGCAATTTTTTCCTATAAAAATTAAAACTTTCGTACTAGAAACCTACTTTTAGAAGCATTAATAAAGACGTAGGCTTCGTTTGGGACGGCTTTCTTACTACTTCTTAAAACAGCTTTTTAGTACAAAAATTTTAATTTTTATACTAGAAATCTACTTCAATAAGCAGTAAAAAAGCCGTCCCAAACGAAGCCTTAATCGAATGAATTTTCTTCCATTTATAAATTTAGTAATTGTTTTTTAAGAGAGGGCAAAACATAGGGATTTCCAATATGCTTCTTGTTGGCACTTGCAAGAGAGATGGTAAGAATATAGATCCAATTTAACTTATTTGCATTTAATATTTTAGAGAAGAATTAATCCTCTCACTAAGTATCGATTGTGACAATAAAATTAATTAAATAAAATGTCAAACAATCAAAATTATGGCTGCTTTTTCAACCGATTGTTCCCAAATTTCTTTCATAATATAATTTAGGTCAATGGGCTTGAAATTTCTTGAAAAATGCTTTGAGATTAGTGTCATGAATAAAAATTCAGTGAATTTTATGGTCGTTCTTATACAATTTATATCAAAATATACTGACAAATTTTTTTTTCTTGTTTTTATGTATTTAATCTATTAAATTTCCTTTTTTTATGTTAATTTTTTTTTTAATTTAAAGAAAATAAAAATTGCAAAAACCCTTTTTTTGTTCATTTATAAGAAAGCTAAAGCATATCTAAGGGCATCTCCAACCGAGAACTCTATTTTTCACGTCAAAATACCGCAAAAAGCAAAAATGGCGTGGTGCTGCTCCAATCCAACGCCATTTTTTTGCTTCTGCGCCAAGGTAACGGCCCTTCTCCTTTCCCGCATTTTTTCGGTTGACAGAGAAAAATGACGTGTGTGAACAGTGCAACACCAATATTGGCGTTGCACTGTTCACCCGCAAGCAAATGGAGGATTTTTTGGCGTTCGGCTGGAGTGAAGGAATGACGCCAAACGCTCGTTTGGCGTTCGGTTGGAGATGCCCTAACTTGCTTCAAGAAATATTATTTATGAAAATATTAAATATTTTCCCATTTTGTTACTGCTTACACTATGATTTTATGAAACTTTAGTAATATAAAAAAAAAAAGAAACTTTAGTAATATCCAATTAAATTTAAATTTAAATTGAAAAAATAACAGCTTTTCATTTATTATAAGATATTTCACCTTTAATAATTGATCCAGCTAACAAAAAAAATTATATCTTCGAGTGTAAACAAAAATATCTTATTGTATTTAGTCAAAATTTATTATATTTCAATATCCAAAATATTAGAAGGAACATTTCAGAATATCATAATTTTTCAATAAATTATTGATCGAACACCAAGGGGCTATTTGGTAACACCCAGAATTTGATTTAAGTAGGCTTTCATAATCCTCTAAATCCGTATTTCGGAAATCCTGAGGGACCTAAATCCTAAAAACTGTTTGATAAAATTCATGATAAATCCTATTAAATCTGGTGTGAATGTTTGTCTATAGAGTTGATTTAACGAGCGGACTCTTCCTCTCCAACAAAAAACAATATTTCAGAAACCTTGGATTTAGCACGAAAAGGCAGAATTTTTCGTCTACGGCCGCTTTCATTTGTCTGGAGATTTGGTTTTGCATTTTAGACCGTTTGGCTGGATTTCGCTCAAATCCGGCCCAAATCCTGCTACCCCCCTAAACGGGCTGATGATCTAATTAAGAAAATGCAGCATATGATAATTTTTCTTATCTGCAGGTATTAGAACCATGACACAAACATTAAAATTTGTTGAAAATAGAATTAACAATCGAATGGTATCAATGATTATGACAGATTGGAAGGAGGTTACTAACACACTTCCATATGTCATTAATTCCTAATTACAAGAATCTAAAATCAGTAAATGACTAAGGCATTTGTTTGAAACCTTCATACAGAACAACAATATATGGATCTATAAGTATCAAATGCGAGAAAGGAAGGCATAACTCCCTTTGCTGCAATTCACCTGCTTGCAGCTTTGATTGCTCTAATCATAATGGCTAAATCACATGAAAGCAAGCAGAGCTATTTATTAACAGTTCAGAAGGTAATTAACCACTTCAAAGCTTAGTAATGATCTATTAAACCTGTATTAATTAGTTTTAATACTGTCATTAAGCGTGTATTGATCTTCTGTGTAGCTGGTGGCTGAGTTAGTTGGAACATACATGCTTATATTATTTGGATCTGGATCAGAATTCATACAAGCACAGAAACCAAATCAAGATCTTTCACTAGCAGGCGTGGCTCTCTCCTGGGCTATTGCAGTGACAGCCATAGTATATTCCATTGGTCATATATCTGGTTCTCACATCAACCCAGCCTCAAGCATTGCCTTGGCTTTTATTGGCAAATTTCCATGGAAGCTGGTCTGTAGAATTTCAAAATTTTTCCTTCTTTTTGGTTGAATGTTAGATGATTTAGGCTTCGTTTGGGACAACTTTTGTACTATTGAAATTTTTGTACTAGAAAGCCTGTGACGGCTTTTTTATTGCTTCTTACAGCAACTTTCTAGTACAAAATTTTAATTTTTTTTGTATTAAAAAACTGTTTTAAGAAGCAATAAAAAAGCCGTCCGAAATGAAGCCTTGCCTATGACATCAGGAAGAGCTAATATATGGGCAAAATTTAAAATTTTTAGGTTCCAGCTTATGCGTTGGCTCAGCTGATAGGAGCTATGTTGGCTGGTTTGACGCTTCGGCTGCTCTTTGGAGGAAACCAGGCGTATTTGTTGTTAACACTGCCTGTTGGAGAAAATCCAGCTAGTGATATAAATGTGATGGCGTGGGAGATAATAATCACTTTCATCTTCTTGTTTGTTATATGTTGTTCTGTATTGCACCCTGGAGCTGTGAGTACTTTTCTGTAAACCTTTTCATATCTGTCTGTATCTCTGTATCTGTTTTTCCGCATTAACTTAGCTAAATTTTTCTTCTTCTTTGACAGGCTAAGGGCTTCGGAGGAGTGGCCATAGGAGCAGTAGTCTTTGTAAACGTGATCATTGCAGGGTAATATATAGAGCGGCAGATTCAGTCTTAATTTTCAGTGGGGCAAACTTATAAGTAAAAGTGTACAATTTTTTTTCATAAATATCCTTGCAATCAAAATTTGTTCCGAGGGCGCTGCCTCTCGACTCCTATTTGTTCATTATTGTACGCTTGGAAGATATGTTGGGAGTCTAAGGGGGCAGCGCCCCCTGGCGGGGTTCGACGTTCCCTTACAAAGGTTTTGATTGTAAGGATATTTTTGGATTCTTTTGATGATTTCTTCATCAAAGAATATGGAAACAGGTTTTGATTGCCGCCCTGGCCTTAAGGTGGGTCCGCCCATGTAGCTAGCCAAATAGATTCATGTAGCTAAGATCTTTGATGATTTCTTCATTGAAATTGAAAAATATGGAAACAGGCCAATAACTGGGTGTTCTATGAACCCTGCGAGGAGCGTTGGGGCAGCAATCGTAGCTCACAATTTCCACAAGCTTTGGATCTATATAATATCACCGATTATAGGAGCTGTTGGTGGATGCGTGCTGTATTATTTCCTTCAGATTTCTACAAAGGCAAGCACTGAAGATTTGCCAGTAGCTGAATCTCGTCGTATTGAAACTACACTTGGTCATCCAAATCCAGCCTACTCAGGTTATAATTAATTTTATCTTTTGTTGCAATATTTCATGATTTTTTTAATGTCTTTTTTTCGTTAAGAAATGAGCTTTTCACAGCTAGATTTTTCATATCTTCGTTTGAGACGGCTTTCTTGTTGCTTCTTAAAGCAGCTTTCTAATACAAACATTTTAATTTTTGTACCAAAAAGCTGCTTTAAGAAGCAACAAGAAAATCATCCCAAACGAAGCCTAAGTTTCATTTTGAACAGCTTTCTTACTGCTTTGCTTTTTATATCGCAACTATACTTTTTTTGGCTACTGCTTTTTCATTATTTTTTTTAAATTGTACTAGAAAGCTGATTTTCACTGCTTTCAAAAAAAAAAATATTTTCTCCATAACAATTTTATATCATCTTTACAAAAAAGTTAATGTCCATCCCAAACGAATTCTTAGTTTTAAGAAATTGCTTCTTATCATAATTTTCTTTAATAATCAATATGTTATAGACATAGAAATATAATAATTAATTTTACACTTAGCTACAATCATCTTAAACAAATCTCAATTTAGTTGCATCTTTAAATAATTAATTATTAGATGATATAATTAATGTTCACAACTAAACGTAACACTTCAATTTTTTTTTTTTTTAAATAGCGCAATATTCAACTAAGCATAATGAATAGCATCAATATATGATCAGCATGGCCATATACAAATAGCATGAAAAGACTTATTATTTCTGTTGAATAATATATATTTTCTTGCAATTTTGCAGAGAGGTCCATGGATATCCCTTAATGCCAAGCAGTGGATGAAGAGTTTTTTTTTTTTTTGATCAAATGTACTCCCATAATATAAATTGTTGGGTGTAAGATATGAATGATGGGAAAAAATGTTGTGCGACCGCCGTTAAGATGTGAATGATGGGAAAACGTGTGAATTTTCTCTCTTGTACACATGATGCGTACAAAAGAAAAAATTTAACTGTCATTACTTGATTGAAGTCCAAACAAAAAATTATGACAATGTTACGCACGTAATAATCTCTCCATTTTAGAACAACTACAGTATTATACAAAGTTAGTTGTAACGCTATTATAGATAAAATAATTTTGCTACTATATGACTGCAAAAAAAATAGTTTTTCTCGATGAAAATTTTAAAAAATTAATAAAGAAGCAACCAACCGAAATTATATAGGTTTATAGGCTGAAAAGCAAAATATAAAAAAAAAAATCTCAAAGAGTCCCTTTTTTTAATGAACGAGAAAAAATAAACTATCAATTATTATTTTTAAAATTTTTAGTAATTCGTAAATGAAATAGAATGGAAAATTTTAGGTCAAAATAAAGCTCACTACCTTTAAATTTATTGAAATAAACATAATAAATAAATCAACACTCAAAATTTATATTATATTAATCTAAAAAGAAATTTCACATATGTTTTAATTACAAATTTAATGAAAAAAATTTAAGGAATTTGTATTGAAAAGATTGAGAAGTGGCTGCACTAGTAAGAAATTAATAATGAAATTTATTGAAAATAATAAGAAATAAACATAAATAATTTAGAAATATAAATATAAGGGGAAGATTCAATTATTTAGAAAATTATCATGAAAAAATAAGGAAAAACAAGCAATAAACCAAAGGACATTAAGGATTGCTTAAAGATTTCCCAAATTTGAGAAAATCCTCGATGCAATACTAGAATAATTGAATAATAATAATAATAATAATAATAATCACCATCATTTTATGATGATTATTATCATAAATAATAATAATAATAATAATAATAATAATCCTGCATTATTGATCCAGCTGCGAGAGTTTTAAAAGAAAATATAATGGCCAAACTTTCTGCAAAATTTTTGTATTTTGGCAATATTGATACTAGGAAGCTCCATATGGTATCCTGGGTTAACACTTGTAAACCGAAAGAAAAGGGTGGTCTTGACATTCCAAATTTTCATGCTATTCGTTATGCATTTGATTGCTCCCTTATCCTCAGATTATACAAAAGACTCTCTCCTTTATCTAAGTGTTTTTTTATGTTTCACTGCTCCCCTTGGAAGCCTCTCCTTCCTCTTCAGCTATGTGGAAAAGTATTTGTCAAACTGCTTTAAAAGCTAAGCCCAATTTCTTTTTTAAGGTCACTGATAATAGCCCCATTAGCCTTCTATGGGACCATTGGTATAATGGTTTATGCATACAAGACATTCCTGATTTTCATTCCTATACCTCTACATGTTCTGTTAATGTCAGACTTGATTCTCTCATTGCTAATGAGAACTAGAACTTCCCTAGTATTTGCTCTGATAATTTTAAGAATGCTGTCTCATCTATTCCCATTGTTTGTGATGGTAGAGTGAATTGTATTTCTTGGGGTGTTACTGGAAGGCAGAAATTTGACTGATTCATTATGGATTTTTACAAAATGGAGGATGATGTTATTTGGCACAAGGCTGTTTGGCACAAGCATTATGCTCTTAGATTCTCTATATATGCGTGGCTATGTTTTGTTGGTGGATTAAAAACTTCTGATGCCTTGCGGAAAAGAAATATTGATGTTGACCCGGTGTGCGTCTTCTGTCATTGCAAAGCTGAGATTGTTACTCATCTCTATTTTGAATGTGATTATACTTTTATCATTATTACTTCTCTAATACCTACTATTAGTTCCTTTCTTTTGAGACCAAACTTACTACAGATCTCTGATTACCTTCTTAACTTTGGTAATTCAACTTCTGGTACATCAGCTGTTAAATTCTTGACTCTTTAGGCTGTTGTTTATTATATTTGGAGGGAGAGAAATGAAAGGAAATTTGCTCATCATTCCAAAAGCAATACCACTATCCAGTTTTTGATTAAGAAGGCAGTTGCTATTAAACTGAAAAGATGGAGAAATACTTGATTGGGTTTGGTTTTTATGTTGGTTCTTGTATGCTGGAGCTTTATTCTTCTTCCCCTCAATGCTTTCTCTGTGGTTTCTACCTGGGAATTTGGTCTTTCTTCTCTGTTACTTTGCAGGGGTCGATGATGTGCAGTCTTCATCCTCCACCTGGATGGCGAATTCTGCAACATATTTACATTTGATGGCAATTTTGGCAACCAGGGGCTGTTTATAAATTATTTTAGAAAATATAATTTTTTTAAAGCTGATATAGAAAACAATTTTCTAGAATAAATTTTTTTTAGAAACAAGAAAAAATAACAGCCAAACAAAAATTATAATTGAGATATGAAAAAATATACTAATAAAAAAATTATTCAAAATGAAGCCTAAATTATACTTAAAAGAGCTTTAGGATTTGTTTAGGATAGCTTTCTTACTACTTAAAATAATTTTTTAGTACAAAAAAAAAATTATGATAAAAGACTTAAAAAATAACAAAAAAACTGTCCCAAACGAAACCTTGGATATCAAAGTTAGCTTCTGATTAATGGCGTCATGAAATAGATACTAATCAAAAGATGCAAATGCCATATTATTAATGTATTTTACATAATATTTTCTAAAATAAAATTACTGTAAGCAGCATAGTAAACAAATTAAATAATTAGCACAACAGCATAATAGAATATTCACATGCTGCACCATCCATGCAATATTTTATTATCTGGCAAAAGATGAAATTAGTGAGATTTGCACATAAACTCCTCATCAAACTCAAATTTATGAAAAGCAGCACAGCACAACACTGGTAGAAGTACCTATACAATAGCTATCACTGGAATCTACAGTACCTTACTGTCTGCAAAGTGATATAAGAACAAAGGGATGGATTTTGCCCACATTTTGACTTGTTTTCATAGAATCTAACCAATAGCATTTGGGTGCAATGTGCTCTCTACTTCCCAACTTCTCCTGCCACATAGAATTTGTATTTTGTCAGCAAAAGCTGCAGAACACTTTAATTAGTATGTGAGAAAGAAGAGTACATCATCATGAAGCTAAATAAAGAAGCCCATCATAAGAAGAATTCTTGGATTTTATCAGAAAGGAATAGTAAGCTCGTAAGATCTTTGAAAATGTCATGAATATTCAAGCTATAGCTAGAAAAGTATACCAACAAGCCTACAAAAGAGCCAAATTTGTCTCTGATTGAGCTTGAATTGAGTAGACAGATCTAATAGAGCTAACTCGAGATCAAATTGAAATGCATATGCATCAAGCATGTATTTAACAATGTCTTAGAATAAAAAAACTTAAATTGATTTTCTAGCTCAAATGGGCATATGATAGATCTAGCTATTGACTTCCCTTTTAGCACGGAGAAATTATTCTGTGCGGAGGCCGGACGCAGGACGCCGTCTGAAAACCAATAAGAATGCGCCACATCAACGGTACCGAGCCGCCGGGGTGACGTGGTGCATTCTAGTTGGTCTTTGGACGGCGTTCGGCATCCACACAGAATAATTAATTTTTAGCATGAAGGGATCTCTTAACTCAGATTTCAGTATTTAGCTCCCTAACTCGCTATTTGAAGCTGAACCAACTCATTTTTGTAAGAATAATAGCTTTGCATGCCCATTTTAATGCCCTTGGCCTACTCAACCCAGTGCCTAAGAAATTTAGAAGATCATCCTAAGACCAAACTCTTGGTCGGCTTGGCTTAGTTGGCCTCCCCTTCAGACTGTAGAGTAGCTCATTTAGGAGGCTTTCATATCTAGAAAGCCCACGGGATTGCCCTGGGACAATCAATTTCCAGCCCTCTAAGGACCGGAAAATGCCCTTTTAACCCATTGGATTGTGTCCCTCCAGTTTCCCTGTCGGTCTAAGTACCATCCATCTTTTTACTCAGACAATGTCATCTATTTTCGGAGCCCAACACCATATAGTTGATGCCTAATGTCAAATTGTTGTCCATCATCGTCCGACATCATCTAGTTCTCATATAAATCTACTAAAAAAAAGATCATTTCTAATATTTTCTAACCAAGATTTTTTAAGTCTACTCTATCTTTCTTAACATAGGCCAAATCTAAAACTTCTGCCCTCCTAACAGGGTCATTGAAAGGTCGACATTTTGTGTGACCAAATCATCTAAGACGACTCTCTCTAATCTTATCTGCCACTGGAGCTACTCCAACCTTTTAGTGTATATACTCATTTTACATGTTGCTTCTAAAAGTGAAGTCACTCATCGACCTGAGCATCCTCATCTCTGCAACACTTAACTTAATTTATGCTTCTCTTTCAATAGCCAACATTCTACACCGTAAAGCATTGAGTAGAACTTTCCTCAAGTTTGAGGTATATTTTTCTATCACACAACACGCAAATTTTTACAAAAATATAAAATGCATTTTTTTAATCTATAACCCAAACAAGCAGATCAAACTAACTTTCAAATAAATTAAAAAAAAAAAA